GTCCCGAGTTCGATCTCCGGTACAAAAAAAAAAAAATATATGTATAAAATAGTTGTAGACAGCAGCTCTCCTGTATTATTTGAAGTCCATTCCTATATAACTTGCCTGTTTATTCAGTGAACATTTATTTGACAGCTAAGCTTACACAAACCAATGAATATATTTAATTTGTAGTCCTATGTGATTTATATTTGTGAATTTATTGAATGTTTTATTTCTGAATTAAACATTGGCACTGGAAGGACCCGTTAGGGTAATAGGCTACTCTCAGCCACAAGATGGCATTCCTACTGTAATTTGTCTTTGCTAATAACAATCTGCTTCATTTTCTGGGAGAACTATCTCCATAAAGAAATAGTTTAAATAAGCAAGAGCAATTTGTTTTTAAAAAATTTTAAACCAATTTCATGTTAATGTTAAATTTCTGGCTTAGCTTCTAATGTTAGTTCTAAAGCAAAAAATGGAAAACCAGAAGCAGTTACAAGAAAATAATGGGAGATTTAAAGTTTTGAACGTATTTATTATTTTATCATTTATTTATTTATTTATTTTTTCTGTGCCGGGGATCGAACTATCATTTACTTTTAAGGCTATTGCAGTGAATGATCTAGAAAATGCATCTAAATGGGAGGGACTATGTTTTTTTAAAAAATTATTTTTACTCTCAGGAACTGTAGTTAATGAGAAAATTAAAGAAAATGAAATGTACAACACAAAAGAGTTACTGTAAGAACCAAAAAATAACGCCCCTAAAAAAAAAAAGTTACTGTAAGAGTGTAAGTAAAAAAGTGATACAATCAAGTTCTATGGAACTTAAAAAGAAAGTTTTACTGTGGAATAATCAAAATATTTCACAAAGGACGTTGATCTTTAGGTTAAGCTTGAAGAATTGGGAGATTTTCTAGGGTGGAGGAAAATATTCTAGACAGATGCCAGGGTGGTAGGGGAGATGAAATGCTTGAATCTACCTGCATTTATTTGTAATCCATTCATCTTCTTCATTGTCCAAAACAATCATTTCATGTCTTCACGTTTTCTCAAAGCCAACTGTTTTTTTCTTCTCAACTAATAACCGTGCTTCATTGGAGAGGAACAGTTTACCATATTATTCTTCACTTCTCATCAGGTGTATAAGTCTGCACTTTAAGCATCGTTTCCTTGTTCTCTTTGAATTAGGCAGTAGACCTTTCAAAAGCCTTGCAATCCTGTTCCCTTTAACTAACTCAAATTACTTCATTATTTACCTCCTCTCCTGTTTGTCCAACTTTTCTCCTCCAATGAAGCTTTCCTTTTTAAATGCCATTTGGATGCTCTCTTTCATAGCTTATTAGCATAAAGAGCAAAACTGCTCTGAACACCCACATCTTTCCCCATCTACTTTTCTTTAAGCTCCACCCAAGATTAAACCCTAAAGACTTGTCCATCTATATGTTTTCCACTTTCTTTCCTCCATGTGCAGCTTAACGTTGAATACTAAATACCACCTAAGTGCCTACCACCTCCTGAGTGGTAAAAAAATACACTATCATGCAGACCCCACTATCCTGCTGTGGTGATCTTTTGATTGCATTTACTTCGCTCCCCTAGAGGCAACCATTATCCTAAATTTTCAATTAGTCATTCCCTTTTTAGACTGAATTTTACATAAATGGAATCATACTGTGTGATTCCATGACCTGTTTCTTTTGCTCAGAAACTTTAGAATGAGTCCAGCCAGATGAATTAAGCCATATTTCATTGATTTTATTAATAAACAGTATTGTGTAAATACCTCAATATATTCATTTATCAGTTAGTGGATATTTACCTAATAATTTTTTATCTGTTCTTGCATCTAGTAAACATTTGTAAAATTTGTGTTGCAGGTCAGTGAATATGGACTTTCAGTCATTTGTGATTCTAATATGTAAAGTTTTCATATCAACATTAAAAATTGGATTTATGAAATGAAAAAATACTATTTATAATTTCTAGCTTTTTGTCTGAAATTATTTTATATTATAAATATTTTAAATGTATATGATTTTTGAGTAGCAGGTGAGGTTTTAAAGTTACATATTTTGAAAATCAAAATGTTCAAAAGTAAAGACAAATTGTTTTGTGTGACACTAGAATTTAATAACAGTTCACTTTCACATACAAGTGGGGATGACATACATTGTTTTTCCCAATCCATTAGACTTACACTTTATAATTCATACTACTGAGTTGAAAAAAAAAAAGGAAAATAAAAAAATTAGAATGCATGCACAAACCCAAAGTAACTGTTTTTCCTGTGAACATCAAACCCTTAGAAACAGTGCTGTACTGTTTTTGTCCTCATCCAGGGACACGAGTGAAATATAGAAGGAAATAGTTATCTGTGTGGGTCCCACCTCTACACTCCAGTCATCGGTATCTCTTTTAAAACTTTGACTTTAAAAACAAGTTGGCTTCTTCAAAAACAAGGTCTTCTGACTCAAAATAGCAAAGCCAAGAAAGTTGCCAATGTCACGACGGTAAAGATAAACTATTTTGATCAGAGCCCAACATCAAAAAGTTGGGATTGCTTCTTACAGAAGCATGCTTTAGTCAAGTTAGCTGTCTTTGTTTTTAAATTCAGAAATTATCTTTCTGAAATAAGATTTTGTCATCTAATTGGTACTAAAAATTGTTTTGACAAGCCATTGCACTGGAGTCTTATGCAGTGGTACTAGGTAAGTCATTATTGTGGTCTATTAAGATTTTAATGGCATGTAAAATAGAGTTGTAAATGGCAGGTAAACGTAATTTCCAAGTATTAGAGGAGTTTATAATTTAAAATTCTTAGTGGATTATTTTATTCAGCAAATTCATATTTGGTGAATATTACTAAAATCAGCTTAATACCATGTAAGAGTAAACAGTGGCACTTTGTGAGGTTTTCTTTTTTTTTTTTTTTAAGCATATGCTTTATTACTATTTTTCAAATGGGAACTGTGAGGTAGATATTCCGGAGCTCAGGAAAAATGCTGAGATTGAAAAATGTGTCTAGAAACCATTTTAAACAGTTAGAAGAAGTAAAACAAACTATTCTTGGTGTTCTTTAGTTAAGGCACAAATAATGTGTTAGTTTTGTTTTGGGGGCCCGGTTTTGCTCTGATTCAGGCCGGCTTTAACTTGTGACAGTCCCGCCTCAGCCTCCTCCCTAGGGCATGTGCCCTCGTTAATTTTTAATAGCTAATTTTCTTTCATTTTAAATTAGGCTTGCTTATGTTGATTTTACCTTAAAATTTAATTTGTAATTTTAATTTTCTTTCATTTTAAATTAGGCTTGCTTACATTGATTTTACCTTAAAATTTAATTTGTAATTATCCACCAATATATGTATTTTTTTCTGAAACTATGTAAAAAACATTATTTGAAGTATCCTTGGCAGCACATACCCCAGGTTTGCAATTCATGTACACTGTATTATTTTTTTTCCTTCATCAGTCTCAGAATTGGCTTTTTTTCTTACCTAATTTTAGTGCCAGTGTCTGTTAAGATGCTCTTGATTATAATTGTAGAAAAAAATGGGTAAATAAGCTGGTCTTGGGCTCAGAAGTGGACT